AGAAAGCAGTAATGACACTGGTTTGTCAATATGTATTAAGAGGAAAGTGACTCTTCTAAGCTTCAGACAACTGTGACTTTGATGAGGATAATGTTTCTGCAGATGAAGAAAGTGACAATTGTGAGCTCATCACCTGCTCCCCTATTTCACTAATCCCAATTTACTCTTCAAGTATTAACTTATATTTTACTTCTCTCTAGGAGGCTCCCCTGCTCAGAGCCTCCCTCAGAGATATCCAAATAAATTTAGGTGTTCTTCTGGGTTTCAGTTCAGTTCAATCACTCAGTCATGTCTGACTATTTGCAACACCATGGACTGTAGCACACCAACTCCCAGAGCTTGGTCATCAAGTCAGTGATGCCATTCAACCATCTCATCCTCTGTCATCCCCTTCCCTTGCTCTTCCAGATTTACTCTTGGCAACTTATAATGCTTGCATTGAATGTGTCCAAAGCTTTGGTTTAGAGCTTAGAACAATCTGTGTAATAAATGATATGTGTTTAATAGAATAAAAGTTCACTGAAAGTCTATTTCATTCAAAAATAATTTAATTATGCAGAACTTACACAGAAAACATATCTATAAATAAAAGCTAAATCCATCAATTTTGCCCAGTTGTTTAAAGATTAGTTCACATATTTTGCAATTATAATATACAAAGGGGCAGGCAGTACTGACCAAAGCGTTCCTGAACATGATCTAATGATATAAAATCACATAAATATATTGCTTTTCTTAAGCTAATCTTTTATTTTAAATTCTTGATAAACAGATATAATTATTCTAGACCACAAATAAATAAAATGGGATAACAATTGACTACTCTTAGGTATCTAGACCCATATCAGACAAGAAAAGGAAAAGTAAAATAACAATATTTGGGCATAGTTAAGACCTAAGTGGGGGAATCTGATAACCGGGATTTCAAATGGATTGATTCATTGCACCTAGCAGTGATAAAGATGTAAGCTAGGCTGGAAGAAGACTCTCAACTGTGTACTAAAATTTGTAAAAACAGCACTTCAGATCACTGGATTTGAGCTCCCTGAATCACACAGGAAACTCCCACTGTCTATTTAATTTTACAGATGGCAATGTATATGTTTCCATGCTGCTCTCTCCATTCGTCCCACCCTCTCCTTCCCGCACTGTGTCCACAAGTCTGCTCTCTATGTCTGTGTCTGCATTGCTGCCCTGCAAACAGCTCCATCAGTACCATCTTTCTAGATTCCATATGTATGTGTTAACATATGGTGTTTCTTTTTTCTCTTTCTGACTTAATTTCACTCTATGTAATAAGCTCGAGGTTCATCCACTCATTAGAACTGACTCAAATGTATTTCTTATTATGGCTGAGTATATATACACCTCTTACCTAGAGGGATGAGGTGGGCTGGGCAATGGGAGGGAGGTTCAAAAGGGAGGGGAGGGACATATGTATACCTATTGCTGATTCATGTTGATATAGGGCAGAAACCAACACAATATTGTAAAGTACTTACCCACCAATTAAAAGTAAATAAAAGAAAAAAAAGAAAGAAAATGCAAAAAAAAAAATGCTTCAAATATAACCACTTAAACATTCTTCTAAAAATAATGAAAGTATTTAAAGTAATAATAAAAGACATATATGTCAAAGGAAAATCTACAATGAAAATTAATTACAAACTTGACAAAGAAGGAAATATTATATAAGTGCTGTTGGAGTTACTAGATCTCTGATTATTTTTCATATGAGTCAGAAATATAGTTAAAGCAGAGTTCCTTAGGTTTCTACAAATAATTTTGCCTTGTCATTTTGCTGTAGTTTTAGATCAAATGACCTTATTGTCTGAAGGTTTTGGACTTTCCAGATGGCTCAGTGGTAAAGAATCTACCTGCCAATGCAAGAAACACAGGAGACATGGGTTTGATCCCTGGGTCAGGAAGATTTCCTGGAGGAGGAAATGGCAAGCCATGCCGGCATTCTTTTTTGGGCAATCCCATGGACATTTTAAAGATAAAGATGCTAGAGAATAGATAAGGTGTGAAGTTTTGTTCACGACAGATATTAAGATATTAAATTGGTGGCAAAATTGACTTGAATTCAGAACTTGGTTCAGCTCTATTCTACAACAGTGCTTCTGTTATCACATGCTGCCTGTTACTTACAAATAAAACACTGTAGAAAAAAATGTTTCCAAACTAGCAAATAAAAAATAAAAAGTAGATATTATAATGAAAACAAAGTCACAAATATTTATACAAAGTATTAGGAATGAAATTTATAAAATCCTTCTGAAAAATATATGCAGCATATACAATAAAATAGCATATAAAAGTTTTAACGGTATATAGTAGAAATATATTCTGACTTGTCAAATTGTTCAATCAATAATCTAGAAAAATGGACAATTCCAAAGTATTTTAATTCCACCAAAGGTCAAAAAAGTTGCAAGCAGGAAATTTCTAAGTTAAAAATACAGTTAAGAAACAGGGAAAATCAACCTAGAGCATCACAAGCAATTCATCAAATAGGGAATAATTCAAAAAGCATTAAATGTGATCGTAAAACCAAAAATTATTATCATCATTATCACAATTACGATCATAGTATACTACATCTTTCATTTTCAAGAAGTGTAAGATGGAATATAATTTTCACTACTCCTCCTGCTTAGCACAACTAAAAGCAATAGGGATTATAATAAAACAAAATAAAAATACTCTTCAAAGTACAAAAATTAAAAAAGGCAGACTATCAAGGACTCTGGGACCTAAGGAACTACATGATCACACACATTGACCAATTTCTTTTTGTCTTTTGTCTCATATACAAAACTGGGAACTGAAAAAGCTAACAATCTAGAAATACCAATAAGCACACACACTAAAAAGTCAACAAAAATGTGCTCTCTCTAGGTTAAAAGAACAACAACAACAACAATGAAAGGGACAGCCTAATATGGCGGAAAACATGGAGACAACAACCAGTCTAATCGACTGGAGTAAAACAGAAATCACGAGGCCCACACTCACTATACTAGCAACAACTGATCACAGAGCCCAAACTTCCACCCTGGAGCGCCTGGGGCAGCACATACCAATATCCCTGCATAGATGGTGTGAGTAAATGCCAAGCAGAGTGTTAGCAATTTCATTCCTGATGGCTCATCATGAGCTTGCTTACAGCAGTACTGGTGGGGGCCATAGCCATGCAATGGACTTCCAACCCTCCCTTCTGCATTAAGTAGAAATCCCTTCTGCCCATTTCAGATGTCACCAGAGACTGAGAAGGAAACTCAGATTTCTACATTCACCTGGAAATAATGAGGTGAAATCCCTCTTTTTCCTGCCAGAGAATCATTAAAGAAAGCCACCTAAAATAGAAGTTTTATAGAAGATTCAGAGTCTCAGATAAAATACAAAAATATCCAGGATTCAAATAATAAATCTTTCATCATACTAAGAATTAGGAAAAACTCAATTTAAATGAGAAAGCCAATCAACAGATGTCAACATCAAGATGGCACAGATGTTAAATCTAATTTAAAACCTAAATCCAATTTAAAATTAGATTTTTAACAACCATGATAAAAATGCTTCAATTAGCAATTATGAATACAATGGAAACAAATGAAACAACAGAAAGCTTCAGCAATAGTCTGTTCAAAGACATAGAAGATATAAGTAGAACCAAATAAAAACTTTAAAACCCAAGAATACAACAACAAAAATTCAGTAGACAGGGTTAACATCAGAATGGAGCAGACAGAAGGAAGTGAGTGGAAGACTGAATGATAGATAAAATTCAATCTGAATGAGAGAGTAAATACATTTAAATTAAAAAAAGAAAAATGAACAAAGACTTAAGGATGTTTGGAACAACAAAATCAGAACATGTATGTCTTCAAGGTCTTAGAAAGAAGAAAACCTACAGGACTGAAAAAGTACCCAAATAATGGCTGAAAACGTCTGAAACATAGCAGGATATTCAAACTTAAAATTCTAACAATTTACGCATGCTCAGTCACTGCAATCCTGTTAACATCTTTGGGACTCTATGGACTGTAGCCTGCTAGGCTCCTCAGTCCATCGGATTCTCCAGGAAAGAATACTGGAGTGGGTTGCTATGCCCTCCTCCAGGGGATCTTCCAGACCCAGGGATCAAAGCAGCATCTCTTGCCTCACAAGCAGATTCTTTACCACTGAGCCACAGGGGAAGCCCAACAAGTTATGATGGACCTTAAATTGGGTAAACCCAAAGGAATCCATGCTAATGTGCATTATAATTAACCTTCTGAAAACTAAAGACAAAGCAAAAAACAAACAAAAAAAACAATCTGAAAAAATGTCCCAGAGGAAAACCATTAAAAATACAGCATCATTCTTGAAACAGTGGACGTCAAAAAAAGTGGTACAAGAAATTTCAAGTTGTAGAAGAAAAAAAAAACCAACCGTCAACCCAAATTCTATATTCAGTGTAAATATTTTTCAGATTGCTTCAGGAATATACCTTCTAGAGTACACCTTTAACATGACTGGTGAAGATATATATAAACTTCAAATAATCTATGAGGAAGTGAAAGTGTTAATCATTCAGTCACGTCAGACTCTCTGTGACCCCATGGACTGTAGCCCACCAGGCTTCTCTGTCCATGGAATTCTCCAGCAAGAATACTGGAGTGGGCTGTCATTCCGTTCTCCAGGGGATCTTCCCGACCCAGGAATCCAACCCAGGTCTCCCGCATTAAAGGCAGATTGTTAACCCTCTGAGCCACCAGCGAAGCCCTATATAAACTATATGGTCTATCTATAATCTCGAAAGAAACCTCGTTTACTTGCGGGGTTAATTTTCCTGCATTAAACGCGGTCCTTGTGTCACCCGACCTAGGGAACAGATAGGAGAAGGTGAAGCCGGGCGAATGGGTGCCTTGCTCGGTGCTGGCTGGAAGGCGGGCATGCTTCGTGCTCAGGGATGACTTCCAGAACGCGGGCCTGCTCTCCACGCCACTGCTCAGATGGAGGATCAGAGGCCTGAGCTCATTCCCTACTTCCACAGCAGCCAAGGCCCCGCGGAGGCAGCGGAGCCCGTGAAAGTGGCCTTTCGGCGCGAGGACACCTATGAGAGGGTGAGCAGCCACCCGCTCCGGGTCTCGGGCCCGGCCCGCCTCCCAGGTGGGCCCGTCCGTCCGTCAGAACCGCTTCCAGTCCCCCTCCGCCCGCCAAAGCCCACGTCGGAAGGACTCTGGACCTTGGGCCTCAGCCTCGCGTCTGCTCAGGCCTTGAGCCACCCCGTCTGGGCGAGCCTCTGGCCACGGGACTGAGCCCCAGTGGAAGGACGGAGGAGACTGGCCCTTCCAAGTGCACCGGGCTCCAAGGGCTTATTGGGAGTTAGGGGCGATGGGGAGCAGCCCTGGCCAACCACACCCCGCTGGCTGTGGGCACCTTCCTTGGAACTCGGGGAACAGGGCGAGGACCCGTGTGCCACTTCAGGGCTGCTGGGCATTCCAGGTCCCTATTCCGGAGGGGACCGCCTGGCCATTCAGTGGTCCTCGTTGTCCTGGGACCCCTATTTGTCTGCCCCACCAGCTCCCTCCCCGACCCAAGTTCTGAGTTTCACAGCCGGCCTCACCCCAGCCTACCCTATGCGCCTGACCCCTTGGTCTGCAAAAGCAGAAGCTGCAGGGGGAATGCCCCACCTCAGATGCCTCAATTAACAATCGGTTTAAAAAAAAAAAAATGAAGCCACAAGGGTTTATTTAACTAATCTGTGATCCCCATTTGACTTTAAAGTTTATATTTGATGTGTGTAGGTGTTCTGGAGAAGGAAATGGCAACCCACTCCAGTATTCTTGCCTGGGAAATCCCACGGGCAGGCTACAGTCCATGGGGTCGCAAAGAGTCGGACATGACTGAACCACTAACACTTTCACTTTTCACTTTCAGGTGTTGTGTGTGATTTTTTGTACACTGTATCAGAAGCTTGCAAAGTGCTTTCCACACGCTTTAGGAACTAGTGAATATTAGTTGAATAGGAACTTGTTTAAGATATGTGTTTATCTCAACTGAACAGATTCCATACAAAAACCTCAATGTAAACCACAGGTACCTTCAAAGTCATTGAGACTTGCACCCTTGAAGTCTCTGTCATCTAACAGCACTGCTCAAATGGGTTGATTGTTTCGAAGTATGCTGCAAAGCATTTCTACTTGGTGCTGTGTACCCTGGGAGTGGCTGTGCTTTATATGCTTAATGTAGTTTCAAAAGTATCTATCTTAATTAATTAATTTGATAGGTAAACAGTAACAATGCTGACAGGCATTCTTCTAGGAGTTGGAGTTACAGTGGGAACTATAGAGTCACAACAGTGGTTAAAACAACTGGCATTACCCCTCCATCCAGGGAGATGATGACATTCAATGGGGACAGCATGAATCAGAGTTTCACAAATAATAAAATATGGGTGTTTCCAGGCTTCTGTCTTTGCCTTGCTGCACCCAATGCACTATACCTCTTCTAGTATTATCCCTTAGAGTAGAAATGATATTTGAATTTCATTTTCATTGTATAGAATTTAGGATGTCTTGGATCTCCGCCTTCTCTATCATCTACCCTGCATCACTGTCTAACCAGCACTTAGAGTATTATATGTTTGAAATTATTCAGAATCATTCTTACAAGTGCAGAAGACTTAGGAAAAAATACCCCCATCATCTCTAAACTATTTTTTTCAGGAGAATAATGCCTATGTATATTATAAATGCTGAAATATCATAGTCTAATCATTTGTCCTAAAATACTTATTAGTATCTGGTTCTAAATGGTGAATCTTGACTCTAATGCACCCTGATTAAAGGAGTAAATCTCTTCAAGTCTCTTCATATACATATATACAGTCAAAATCTACATACTCATTATATATATATATATATATATATATATATATATATGTATATCACCATATCTCAAACTTTAAAAATCAGTAATTTTGCCTGGCCTCACACAGCTTTATCTGCAGCATATTAGGGTTTTGAAAGTGAAAGTTGCTCAGTCGTGTCCAACTCTTTGTGACCCCATGGACTATACAGTCCATGGAATTCTCCAGGCCAGAATACTGGAGTGGGTAGCATTTCCCTTCTCCAGGGGATCTTCCTGACCCAGGAATCGAACTGGGGTCTCCTGCATTGCAGCGTAGTTATGCCTATTTTTAATTTCTCCAATTTTATTTTTACTTTTTTGTCACACTCAGTATTCTTAATCATGTTTGTATAAGGAGTGACTTGGAGTTAGATTAACCTAGATTCAGATTCAGGCCGTATGATTTCTTAATTTGCAGAAATTGATTGAAAAAAACTTGCTTCCCTTCTCTTACCCTCATTTTCTTTATGTATAAAATGAAAGTAGTGCTAGTCTTTGCATTCCATGTAATCTAATAAAACACCATGTGTGATAAGTGATGCTTTCCTCACTACTGAGAAATAATATATGCTATCAATTAATTGTGACAGGTCATCAGCAGTAAAATACACTCTAAAATCAGAAATGTGCTTCTTAAAAATTACAAAATAACATTCCACATCTTTGTTAGTAATGAAATTTATATATATATACATGTATATATATAAAAATATATAACATGATTCCTTTGATCCTTTGAATGTTAGTTTCTTATCTGATTCACCTTCAGTCAGACTCTTATTATAGTGGGTTTGATGATCAGATTAAATGTGGTGTACAAACATGATAAGATACTACAAATCCATTGCCAATTCTCTTGCTTACTATTACATTATATGATCAGAATCTATGAATATTTACTCGAGCACTACAATTAATTTGCCTTTGATTTTAGAGAAGTAACTAAATTTTCTTGACTTCATTAATTAGCAAAATGAAAGCATAAGCTTATAAACATATTATTAAGTTTAAAATATAAAACTGATTCTGAAATATTTCCCAAATATGGTATGTTAAGTTGTAATGGAAAGAATGCTCAAAGCAAGTGAAATCTATCTGGCACTGTTAATTCAAAAAACATTTTTGCCTGTGTGAGTGCCACTGAATGAGGAATCCTCCCAGGAAAAAAGACAAAAGCAAAGCTTGAAATAGCCTCTCATCCTTCATAGGTAAAATCTCCAGAGTGGTAGTTCAGGCTGATGGGAAATTTTTACTCCCTGTGCTCTATCTGTTCAGTTGATAAAAAGAGGACTTTGATCTCAGAGACTGTCAATCCAGCTCTTTTTATCAAAAATTTGCTTAAAGTAAACAGTAAAAGTAGCAAACCAGTTATTAAAATTCCACCCCAATTGGCTATGCTCCCAGTTCCAAAACCCAAAACATAATACACACTGATTATTCAGATTATGTTTAAGAATTTTTTGTATGTTCTTAAAAAAAAATCACCACTATAAATAACCAATCTAGTTGAGAAAATTACAAATCTTCCCTTTCAAATTCTAACCATATTAGTTGAGTTAAAGTAAGATCCAGCAAAACTTCTTTCAGTGACATTTCTATTGATACAAGCTCTAAGTACTAAATTCTGAGCTATATCTAGCCACACTTTTATGGATAACTATGAAATACTATACCTGAGTTTATACCCACTGACTGTCAATCATGTTAAAAGCACACTCATCTGTAAAATTCATATTTGTGTGTGTGTATATATATATATATATTTAAGATATTAATCTATACACTACGGTTGTCTTTTCCCACTGCTAGTTACCTTCTGAACTATTTTCCTTTTTATATTTTAAAGAGGTGCCCACTGAGATTTTCAAACAAATCAGCCATATACAATGGAACAAAGCCTCCTTGTTTATTTGACAGTCTTGTTAGATACAATGGTATAACAAATACATTAAGTTTTCTCATTCTGCTTTTGACTATTTAAAGAAGACAGGAACTATAAAAGCTATATTTCTTTGTATCTATTGGAGCTAAGGTTCTGAAAATGAATCAATTAATTCACTTGTTTATTTCACTAGTTTACTGAAGACAGGAAGAGTGGGGGCCCACTTTGTTGCTGGATCTTTAAGTAACAGAGCCAGGAGAAATGAGTAGGGAAGGCATGTAGACGCAGCATTGCAGACTCTGATACCATCCGGAGGCAGAGCTGCTGCCCTCAGAGCAGGAGCAGAGGGGCATTCTCACCTGTGAAGTGCAGCTCTATGATTCTGACCTCCTTTCTCTACACTTCTAGTGCCTTTAAGTCCCCTATATTGATTTCTTTCCAAGGGAAATACCTAAAATGGTTTCTGTTTCTTCTATGAGATACTGACTGCAACTTCTCAAACGGACGACATTTAATTCTGAAGCATTTTTCTAACATAAAGGGGAAATTAAAGATTGCTGATATACATATTTAAATCAAGAATGAAACAATAATAACCTAGAATATTAATTGTATGTTTCAGAGGAATTAAAACTATTGTGTAACTCTAAAAAATATGGTTAAATGATGTCACACAGTTCTTGACTTCAAAGTGAACATGTAACTTCAGAGGGAAAGAATTACACTATCAAATCATTTATATTCAGTTCAGTCGCTCAGTCATGTCTGACTTTTTGCAACCCCATGGACTGCAGCTTGTCAGGCTTCTGTGTCCATCACCAATTCCTGGTGCTTGCTAAAACTCATATCCATCGAGTCAGTGATGCCATCCAACCATCTCATCGTCTATTGTCCCCTTCTCCTTCTGCCTTTAATCTTTCCCAGCATCAGGGTCTTTTCCAAAGAGTCGGCACTTCCCAACAGGTCGTCAAAGTATTGGACTTTCAGCTTCAACATCAGTCCTTCCAATGAATATTCAGTACCGATTTCCTTTAGGATTGACTGATTGGATCTCCTTGCAGTCCAAGGGATTTTCAAAAGTCTTCTTCAACACTACATTTCAGAGGCATCAGTTCTTTGGCACTCACCCTTCTTTACAGTCCAACTCTCACTTCCAAACATGACTCCTGGAAAAAGCATAGCTTCGACTAGATGGACCATTGTCAACAAAGTAATGGCTCTACTTTTTAATATGATATCATAGTTGGTCATAACTTTTCTTACAAGGAACAAGAGTCTTTTAATTTCATGGCTGCACTAACTATCTGCAGTAATTTTTGTGCCCAAGAAATTGGTTTGTCACTGTCTCCATTGTTTTCCCATCTATTTGCAAAGAAGTGATGGGACTGGCAAGGGGAGATGGAAAGCCTTCCTCAGTGATCAATGCAAAGAAATAGAGGCAAACAATAGAATGGGAAAGACTAGAGATCTCTTCAAGAAAATTAGAGATCAAGGGAAAATTTCATGCAAGGATGAGCTCAATAA